AGAGAGAGAGAGAGAGAGAGAGTGTGTGTGGGGTGGGCGGTCCCATTAGCTCAAAACTGCCACTCACTGACAGCAAAAGAATTCACAATGTCATGAAATAAAACCTTTTACTCACCGGCTTGCAGTCATGTTGTAGAGCATGCATGAAGTCAGCACGAGTAATTTTGAGCTTCTCAACAGCATCAGCATCAACTTCCACTTTGGACGTTGCCTATAGGGAGGAAAAAAGGAAAGAAAAATAAACAACAATGTAATAAATTTGTGATGAATAATGAGCAAAATACAACATGATAGATTTTTGCTTGACAGAAAAGTAATTAATAGTTATTATGTATCAAAGCCAGCTCACCTTGATCAGTCGGTTCATGGCTGTGGACTGAGCAGCACGGACCAAGCCCTCAATCTCAGCACCACTGAAGTTTTTGGAGAGAGAGGCCAGCTCTGCAATGTCCACGTCATCTCCGAGCTTCTCATGTTCCCGCATGGTCTGGGTGTGGATGTTGAGGATCTGGACACGGCCGTGCTCATTGGGCAGACCAATCTCCATCTGGACCTCCATTCTGCCCGGCCTGGTCAGAGCCTCATCAATCATGTCCTTCCTGTTGGTCATGCCTGAAGGTCAGGCCGGAAGAGAGAGGAAAGGGAGAGTAGGTGAGTGATCACAAGTTTTTTCCTTTATTATCAAACAGGGCGAATTTAGTGTTGAACCTGTTCATGACAACCATGCACTGACGAGCAGAACCTGTTCATGACAACCACACACTGCTGAGGAGAAACGTGGTCATCTTTGACAGACAGCCCTCTTTACCAGTTTCATTTTCTAACAGAAAAAATGCAAGGAGGGAGGGAGTGAGAAGTGGTCATTTGTGCTGGTGGTTGTCTTGGACAGGTGATTGCTTGAGCAGGTTTGAATATACATTGATAAACTTTTATCATGGGTAGCCTTTATGATACATTTAGGGTGAGGATAATAAACTCATGAATTCAGATAAGACAAAATAAGCTATTGTCATATATAATAAAAGGGCAAACTACTGGTAGTAAGGTGAATGATAACTCTGTAAATTACAATACAAAACTGGAATGACTCTTGATATTTCTCTATAGACCTTTGTCAGAAAAGTAATCACAACAGTTAGGCCAGATAAAACGATCAGCTACACTATTTTACAAAAGTGGCAGCTTCACAACTAGTTATTAAGCATGTGTACAAAGGCATATTTGCAAACTAACATACAGGTGCAGGAATGTAAGCAGTGTGACTATTCATGCACACAACTAAGCTCCTCCAACAGCATTTATAGGCCAATTTCCCACACCAAAGTAATGTGTTTCTCACTGTTGAATCAAACTTGCAGTCAGAGTGGAAATCATTCGAAATTTAAAATTAAGTTTGGAATAGGTAGCCGAATAGAAAATTATCTAACTCCATTAATCAGCTTCTTGGCTCACCAATGACAAGTATATTGTTGAGCTGGTCATGACCGTCCAGTTTGGTCAGCAACATGTTGACCACCGTGTCGTGAACTGCTGTGTTGCCTGCCTGTATAACACAAGGACTTTAAACATCAAAATTTGAGTATTCAATTCATGGATACTTTGATGAATGTAAATTGGTGAATAAGAATTGGTAAAACAATTAAAAAGATATTTCAGACCAACGTGATCAGTTTGATGCTATTTTGTTAAAATATCGTTTCAATTTTATTGTTTTGTTTTGAAACCAAAAGGTTTAAAAAAAAAGATTCAAGGATATATACAGGAACAAGCTGTACAACTCTCAAAACATCTGTTAGCTACCTCCCTGACTAAAATAGAACCCAGGGAACAACGATTCTCTCATTAAGCCTTAGAAACAATAATATATTGGGCAAAGGAAGCAGGGACAACAAACATTTCATAAACAACATAAACAATTATGACAACAAAAGTAATCACATACTTTATGAGAATAAGATATACTCCTGGGCACAATGAAATACATGTCCACTGTGATAAAGTGTGAGATCTTTTCAAAACGTTTTCGCTCTCTCTAGGTACCCTCAATATAAGATTAACATTAAAACAAAAGCTGTTGAGTCAATAAGACTCATGTCAATACTCAATCATGCCCCCTGATGTTATATCATCTCAGCAATCTCTTCTAGGAGGTCTATAATTCAACACAGGAAAAAGAAATACAGTTTCATTCCAACACATACATACCACGGAGCCTCTGGTCTTGCAGATTGCATCAATTTCATCAAAGATAATGATATGTAGACCACTGGCTGCGCCACACTGAAAGGTAGAAATTATAAATATATTTAGCAACAAACCAAAACAAAGCTCTGTAAAATGAAGGCAATCCTCAAAGGTATTAAAAAGTGAACTTTCTGTCTTTCCGTATAACCAGTAATGCTTAGACAGAAATTACGAGCTTGTAAAGCAGTAAAGGACATGTACATTGGGAAAAGATATATCCCGTTGTCTTGCCTTTTCCCAACAATAGTCACCCAAACACAAATTATCGTCTTATTGTCTATGAATTTCATCATTTCATCACAGCACTGACTTCAATAATAAAACGTTCTCTGTTGAGACAAAGTAACCAACTAAAATAAAGCCCTTACTCTCTTCTCCTCCTCTTCAGCAGCAGCAAAGAGTTTCCTGATGTTGGCTTCTGACTCTCCCACATACTTGTCCAGGATCTCGGGACCGTTGACAATCTTTGGCTCACGAGCATTCAACATCTTTCCAATTTGTCTGTAAATGTACGAACAGAAGCAGTATTAGTCAGATTTACAATCTGTAAAAACCATGGCACCCAACATAATCTGATTTATGGAAAATTACAGCTGAAAGAATTAACAACATTCTTTAAAGCCCAGTTCATACCATAAAACACTATTTACCTACTGGAAATCAAAAGCTCAATACATATGGACAGAAAAGCACTGAAAGTCAAGAGAGATTATGTACATATTTCGACCACCCTTCTTCTGCATACTATTTTCTCTGTCATTTCACCTAAACACGTAATTTCTAAAAATTTGTTGTGAAAGCCAGAGAAATTCTACAATAAAATTTTTCAGCACACCTAAACAAACAAACTGAAAGTTTGTCAATAACATTTCCCACTGCGAGTTATAACCTCAACCTAAAAGGCATGTAGACCATGATATTTTTACTATACATCTTATACTCACGACCCCTAACCCTCCAAATCCTTAACAGAGACTTTAAAAAAGCACATCTATCAAAGAAAAGGCCACACAATGAGAACTATAGCTTACCTTGCCATCAGTGTCTTTCCCGTACCAGGAGGTCCAAAAAGGAGAATGCCTCGGACATGCTTCATACCTGAAGACAAAAATATAACATACTACCATAAGTCACTCGAAGTACATTACTTGATTACAACTAAAATGTTACAGAGACTTACACTAAGCAGTCCATATAATTTATGTAAGGGTATTAGATGTTTGATAGGAAAGAAGGAGCAAACGAGACTAGAACACCTGCCAACCATCCATACATGCAGTTTTCAGGAAGTCTGCATAACTATATTGAACATAAGGAATAGGGGTAGACTAATACTGTCCAGGACCATACCAGTGACCAAAGCATTGCTGATCAGTGTACTGTGTAAGAGCCCTGGGAGGGAGAAGCGGGACAGCAGCTTACAGTGTTTTCAGTTTGTTTGGCGCAAAAAAACAAACCCATCAATGCTCAGAAAAGACGCAGAGGGGTAAGAAAAATAAATCAAACCAAAGATTTCCTTGAGGGAATCATCATACCTGAATCAAAACAGAAAGCCAGAGCCAAATATGACTTGAAGACACACATAAATTATCAGAAAAAGCACCGTCTTACTTCAAAGTGGATTAAAATAATATCAACATTGAAAAAAGATTTACAAGGAAAATTCTGAATAGACAACCCAAGACCATCAATCAGCCTTGTATACATGTCTACTGATCAACGATACTGTCTCACGTTAACTTCCTGTATCCTTACCTAGCTGTTCAATAATCTCTGGAGGAAAGACTCTTGAAGCAAATGCTCGCCGGAAGATTCCGGTGAACTCTGTATCCAGGCCACCAATGCCCAGCTTGGTGAAGTCCCAGTCAGGATTGATGATGGACTGATGAGTGGACTTCCTGAAAGACAGATAAGATTTTTGGTTTGTTTTTTGAATGGACAAGAAACTAAGAGTATGACTTTACCTTGAACAGTTTCAACAGTCTTTTTAAGCTAAAAACAGCCATATGATATTTGAAATACACATTAATGAAAATCTCAACCCAATAGCAAATACTTTTATGGACTGATAAAGCACAGTCAGAAGCGACTTCTTTCTATAAAAAATTCAGACGCACACCTTTTACATAAACAAACGAAATAAAAAATCACGTTGGCACATATATTCGTTTTTAAAATATTTCACATTATTTTCACACAAACAACGCAAAATCCAACAAAGGCCACAATAGCAAACAAAAAAGCATTTTCTATCCATTACGTGCAAATTACTAAAATAGACGACGTGCAAATAACAGTTGCCAATCTGTGTACTCACCCTTTTGCTTTGCCACTGAAGTTGAGCAGAGATCCCTCCATCTTTTCAAAAATAATGCCCGAGTTTCCTGACAGTACACCATACTGTGCCTGTATAGACAATAACAAGGAAGATACGGATGACAAAGGAGCCAGGGAAAACTATTCTATCAAATTTTTGCGTTAAGAAAAAAAGAAACGTGACTTCATTTAACATGTGTTTGTGAAACTCGGTATAGGAAAGAAAAACCTGACCATGGTCCTCTAATTCTCTCTGACTCTCAATAACCAGAAACTCAAATAAATAAAATCTTCAATTTCTTGTTCCCAAACAATGAAAGGTAGATTTTTTTCTTTCAATGTAGTCCTTCTTTTAAAAAAATTTAATAATACAAGTAAAGAGGTACAAAACGCAACTTATAGCACCCTCTAATCACTCAAGGAAAAAAAAAACCCAGTTCCTGTCAAAAAAGAAAACAACTTCCAGCCTCCCCTTACTGAAAACACAAGATAAAAAACTAAATTTAAAAAAAAGATGTCAAAGGAAAATACAATAGCACTTTAATTTCTTCTGAATTCAGATCATTTGCACACCTCATCTTTTAGCAAATCAGCGTTCATTTCTACATTTTTCAAGTTCCAAACCCTTCTAAAAAATGTAATTTAATTACAAAAAAGAAAAGGGAAAAAAACATTTGCAAAATGCTGAACTACAAGTGCATCTTACCACTTTAGGCTTCCCAGTTAGTTGTCCTTGTGCATTCACCAGGGTCATGTCAATGACTGGGAACATAGAAAGGCGTGAGGTTATAATTCAGCATCTTGTCAGAAGATGTCAGGCACGAAGTATATGGACTAAAATCAATTTTTCTTTCCAAGTCTCACAAATGTGCTGTGAAATTCAGTTTCACATTAAAATCTTTCCTTAGCTTTGTTTAGATGTGTAGTAGAATTGTTGCTTGTCTTAGCCTTTCACTTGTGAAAAAAATTGGTACTCTATGCATTTCATCTTCCACAGTGCTTTTTTTTCTCCTAAATCTATCTACAAAAAAAAGTATTTAAAAATTCCAGAGACCAATAGTTAAGATAACACATTAATTCATGCCTCTGTAACTGGGACACTTCTATAACTTGCAAGTAAATAAGGGCATTCCTAGTGATGGAAGAATTTAACAGGTCTTGCAAAATAAAAACAATGAAAAGTAAAGTAAACAAATCATAACACTCACTAAGTAGACCTACCTTCTATGCTCTTCACATTCAGAGAGTAGAGTTTCTTGTCAAACTGAAAGACTAACGGTTCACCAACTGTGAATGCTCGATTGCCGAAGGACATGGAGAATTCCGCAGCCAGTTTGTCACTGTCCAATGTGAGGCCCTGCTGCCTGGAAACAAAACGTAGAAAAAAATATCACCAAACACACTCATTGCATTCAAGATATTAGTTTTTACAAACAGGGGAGGGGAAGGGGATTAAAATACACACAGAGTAATACTAGTAATAGTTCTTTTAAGTCTTAGAACTCTGCACTCCATTCCTTGACTACTCAAAAAACGGATGCCCCTGCAGCACAATCCTTATGAGATACTGAGAAATACACTATTATACACCCTAAATCTTAAGGGTTCAAAGGGCTGCTTTGAATGAATGTACAGAAGACTGAAACACTGATTGTAAACACCTATAATTTTCTTCAGATTCTGATATGTGACTTAACTATAAGAAATAAAAAACAAAACAACTATATTTCAAGTCTTTGAAAATAAAAAAACACTCCGGCACAAACATCCTAAATGACATTAAAGAGTGAATTTCTCTCTCAATACTTACGCTTTCTTCGACCAAAAATCCATCTCAAGAACGATTGAGCCAACACAATCTTTCCGAGGGTTCAAGGTCGCTCGCCTCACAGCTAGCTCGGCGTTGAGCATGATGCCTGCCCATTTGCGCTAAAAAATGGGACAATAGGAGAAACGTTATTCCACGCACAGTCGCATTGTAGAAATACTTTTCATGTTGGAGGGAAATCTCAGACTCTCACAATGCACAAACACCCTCTCACAATTTCTCTGTCTCCTTTTCTCTTTCATACACACACACACACACACTTAAACACATACAAAATCATCATAAATGCATGCATACACACATACAAACACACACATATAATATGAAATTAGCTCACTTTCATTCTTGTTTAAATCTTATTGTTTTACAGGTATACATTTAGCAACGTCCTATATCCATTTTCTAAACTACATATATAAAAATTATATTATATGCTAGCCTCTACTGTCCATTTCAATAAGCTTTGACCGAATTTTCTAAAAATATACTCTGATTTTTTTTAAAAGGCAACTAATTCAAATAATAATATCAAATACAATTTCACTTAGTTGGAAGAATTCCCTTTTATGCATTTGTATTTCATATTACGAGACTGGTTGGAACGACTGAAAGCGTAAAATATTTTACAGAAATCAAGTTACTGTCTTACACAGCTTTCAAGACCAGTACTGCAAGACAAGATTCAACGAACAATATTGAACAAAAGAATATACACAGACTCACATGTTGTGCGTTGAACCCCATCTGACCGGATGCAATACGGGGATTGCCCAGTACAGTGAACAAGAAGCTTGCATGAGGGCTTGGGTTGACGTAAATATGACTGGAGAAAAAAATATAATTTTGTAGTAGAAAAATTGAAAACATGTCTAGATCTACATGTATTTCTCTCGTCTCTTAACGTCATCAAAATGAAATAGGACAGATACGACACAGCATATTGGCACAAATCAAGGGTGGTCATGCCATGAGCAATACATTAACATTGCTTTGATTCGTCACCACAAATAATTATATATCACCTAGAAAGGGCACATACCCCTTCACTCAAACCCCAACACACAATAGCACATCAAAACCCTCTCCCCAGACATGGAGCTGAATGGGAGTATTCCAGGCAGGATGAAAAATTTGTGACCCTACACAGATTCATATTAGTTCTACCATGTGTCAATGGACAAGATCTGAGTCATTTTGAAGTGAACCACTTGGTCCATTGCCAGGAAACTGAGCTAAGAGGTATTGTCAAAATAAAAAATAGCTTGATTTGAAACCGTGAGTCGCAATTTTAGTTAAACATTTTTTTTACAGCACTTGCAACAGAAAGGTCGTATTAGAGCCAAATAATAGAGTTGTTACCTACCAGAGAGTAACATACAGCAAAGAGGAGGAGAGATGAGGAGGAGAGATGATTGATGAGAAACGAGCAAACAACATCATAAGCCCCTGCCAACAAACAATCAGAAGGTCTGAGATAATCAACAAAGCCAGAGGTGGACTACACAATTATAATACAAAACCACCACTATATGATTTCAGAACTGTTAAATTCATTATTCCTGTCCAGGTGAGAAACTGAGCACTCACTTGATGCCTTGGAAGTCCTGCTCATTAACGATGACAGCATTGGTCAAGGAGAGCTCCTCTGCGGGGCACTTCACCGCTTTGAAGGTCTGGAAAGACAAGACAATGACAGAGAAAAATTTATAGAAAACTCCAGAAAAAAAGTTGAACTTAAGACTTCATTTTTTGTTTTAGTAACAACTTTACTGCACTTGCAACACAATAAAGTCACATAATTGCCAAGACTAGAGGTTTTATAAGAGAGTAACAAACACAAAAAGAAGGAGAAGAGATACGGACGATAGAAGTTTGACTGGAAAGAGGGAGCAAACCATACCAGAGCACCCGCTAACCACCCACATTTAAAACTTCAAAAGGCTGGTGAAAGTAAGTGTTTGAAAAAAATGTAAGGGAGTTTGCGCAAAGAAAAACACATTGTCATTTAGTATTTGGAAAAAGTGAGAAAGACATAACAAAGATAGAGAAAAAATTAAAGTAAACTGCAGAAAGAAAAGTTAAATTTAGGGCTTCCAAAGGCTAGTGGAAAAAAAGGAAAGTTTGAATAATAAAGAAAAAAACATTGACCATGTAACTGTTATTTAGAGCTGGTAAAAAGTGAGACAAACAGACAGAAGCAACGGAGGGAAAGAAATGAAGAAAGACCCACCAGTGACACCTTCCAACCACCCAATTCGACAGGTGTGATGACATAACATGAACACATGAATTATTATTATCATTTTTTTAAAAAGTTTAAGTAAGAATATTACGGCACTGGCAAAACAATTATGTCATATATGTGCTGAAGATTAGAGGACAAGAGCGTTACGAACACAAAGGAGGAGGAGAAAATAAGGACGATAGATGTTTGAAAGGAAAGAAAGAGCAAACCACAGAAGAGCATCCGCCAACCACCCACATGAATTATTTGGAGAAGTAAAGGAACCTTAGCAAAGAAGGATGACTAGGGAAAACATTGATAATCTACTGACATTGCTAACTCACTGTGCAGTGAACTCTAGGCTTGGTGCAGCTTGGGATAACACAGATAGGAGTTTGTATCGGAAGAGATAAAATGCTTCCCACTGATCAAATTCATAGAATAAAGCACACCAGTGAACACGTAGTGTGTGAAAAGACCCTGGCCATAAGACAATACTAAAATAAAGGAAACTCGAACTATTTTGGGATTTCTTTTTTTTTTTTAAACATGTCTTTTCTATATTTCGATGTTTACAGAAGGTTGAAATATTCTGCTTTGAGCTTAAGAGATAAACCCACAATAAAAAGGTATAATTCGCCTGAAAAAAATCCAGAGCAAATTCAAGCACTGAGCACCATGCCATAAAAAATATAGAGATAGGATCTACCCTACCCCCACCCCCAAACGTACCCTCCATCCCAGTCTTTAACATTATCACCCCGTCCTGCCTCATTCCGAATCAACATAAACACGCGCCCACATACACACACACACACACACACGCACGCACGCGCACAAAACACACACACACACACACACACACACACACACACACACACACACACACACATGTGCGCGCACAGTGCGAGTCTGTGAGAGAGTGCACGAGCTCTCAATAACACAACCTCACGCGCAAACAAACACAAACACATACACAAGCACAATACAGTCTACGCTGCACATCTTCCAACAATATTTCGCATTCACAACATTCATATATTACAACTTCGGTATTTCTTCCTACGAGAAAGAACCCATAGAAACGGAGACATGCGCATCCAAGTCACGTCGTAAGATCACGAGCAGAAAAAAAAAATGCCAGGCACTGAGCATTCAGGATGACGTTATTATACCGATAGGGAACCATAAAACCGGAACGTTATCAATGCAACAATGTAGATATCTTGTGCTTAACACCACGCTTCACATCTGAGTAAATATGAGATGTATCGACAGTTTATAATATTAGCTTACTTGCTCGCAAGCTGCATGCACATTTTTAGTTTTTGTTTTTATTTGCGACATAAACATGTCATGTAAGTGCCGAAAATAAGTGGTGTTACTGTTACAAGAGAGTAACATAGAAGGTAATAGTAATAGAAGGAGAGATAAGGACGATATGAGTTTGATGGAAAAGATGGAGCAAACCACACCAGAGCACACGCTCACGTATAGTAGGTTACTCGAACAGGGTCAGAAACCATGAAGCATACACAATGAATGTATACGACATTTCGTGCTGAATATGGACGAGAGAGAAATGCAACGTTACTCACTCCAAGCTTTTGGGAGTCAGCCATGAGGAAAGAATGAGCACAAACACCTCTGCTGTTCTAGAAAACAACCCTTCCACAAGCGATCGATACCAGATCAATAGCTTATGAATGGACACTCATGTGTAAACCGTTGGCTCCAAACAACTGCACACGTCGGGGAGACACGTTCTCCGACTCCGAGACTGATCACTACCAGAAGTGGTACGTCCAACCAATCAAATTAAGCTATTTAGATGAAGTGCTAAAGCCCAGTTTAGCTGAACACAGCAAAACACAGCACGGGAATCTCCCGCCCAGGAAAACTCGACTACCCTATATTATGCTGGAACGTTCATAGTGCGGAATCCTTTTCGAGGCAACTCTTTCAGTGGATTATTGTAGAAATAGAACTTGCTGCTGGTATAGGATCCAGGAATCCGCACAGACACAGAGATGCTCGATATATAGATAAGAGACTATGCATGAAATAGCATCCTCTTGTCTAGCCAGACGGGACACTAAATGCTGCTCAACAGTAAGGTAAAAATCTCAGCTCCCCTCGCCCCATCCCTCTCACATAAGCGCGGGCCTCAACACTGCATTCGCCTTTATTGATTATTCTTTTTCCTCCCGTTCCTCTAAATCCAACCAGCAACACCCAACCCCCTCCCTCCCCAATCCCCTCCCCTCACGCCCCTTTTATGTCCTTGAAACGGGCCCGCCGGGAAATTCGGATGTGCAGAGAGAGAAAGAGAGAGAGAGAGAGAGAGAGAGAGAGAGAGAGAGAGAGAGAGA